ACACCTATGTACTTGTATGTCTCCCTTCACCGCGAGCATATGCCCAGCTTTCAGCCTGTGATCATCTGAGAACGGTTATTGCAATTCTTGGATTAGCTGTGGCAGAAAAGGGACAGGTGCTTGTCCTCCTTCCAGGAACTCATCCCAGCTTCCTCTTCTTCTCGGGTCACTTTCCTTGAGGGTCCATGCAGTTTCAGAGGGGCCTAATTTAACAGCGGGCCACCCTCTTTGTCACATAGAACTCTGAAACGGCAGGGCAGCTTTAAGATGAGCCCCTATCACGTGCAGTGAGAGGCACCATCTCTGCCCAGGGCGGGAAACACTGTCCCAGCTGTCCCGCGTGAGAATGAGGACACTTCAAAGAGTGTCTTCTCACACAAGCACCTATTGGGTGCCCCTCTCAGCTTTTCTCTCGCTACCAGGATCGGGATTGTGACTAAATGTGGCCAAAATAAATAATAATGTTGATGCAGGAAACTCCCCAGGGGTGCCGTAAGAAACCATGTGTCCTAGAGACGAGAACACTGAACTGCGTCTTATATGTGTTACAGTTTTTCTCTCAGACTTCTCACAACGAGGGAAGAATGAATGGGGAGTGAGCAGGGTGACCATTGCCCAGTGATTCTCAAGGGGCTCGGGTCCTTAAACTTGCTTCTGTATGTGGCGGTGATTCCAGAGAAGTTCCCCCCTTTCATTCTTCAGATTTTGAAATTGTGAGTGTTTCATTCTCGCTGGAAACAAAGGTCCACCCAGTGGCTTTCCCTGAGGAGAAAGTGTCTGAGGCAAAGTGTAAAGCTGTCGGGGAGAAAGCACAGCCTCAATATCTCTGGGCTTCTTGAGAAGAATTCCTGGTTTTACATTCAGAGACCGAGGGACGTGTTACCTGAGAATTTCTGCCTTTGATGTCATCGGAGCTTTGTGCCGCTTCGGCGTGGAGCCAGGGACCAGGTGTACGGCCTGAAAGACACAGGAACAATCGCACCATCTGTTGGCCCAGGGACTGGCTGCAGGCTTCACAGAGAGACTCAGGCTAAACCAGCACTCCAGCGACCATGACGGAACCAAGGGTAAGGTGAGCCGGTCAACCTGAAACCTTCAGGCTGCTGGCCCAAGACCACGTGTTTCCACCCCTGCTTCTATATCACAGACTGTGGATACGGAGCCGTCACAGTCGGCGTGCCCAGGGAGAAATGTTTACAAAGGCTCAAACGATTTGGCATGATGTGCGAAACGTAGGAGAAAAAATTGTATAAATTGGATGACCTCAACTAGTTTTAAAATTCATAAAAAATATAAATAATATACTGAATTGATTCCTCCTGAGTTTACTGGTTTTTTTAATGTCTGAAAAAATACTTTTCAAGTTTTCTACAATGAACATATGAGTCATCTTAAGAATCTGTGAAGGTAAGATACGATTTTTTAAATTAACTATCGCATAGAAGGGTCTCCACAACTTACAAACTATTAATCCAACAGGCACTGGAACTTTCATTAAAACGCTTTTTGAATTAACGAGTGTGTTTGTTCTAGGATAAAGGTGATTTTATCAGCATAATGACATAAGGAGTCCAAAATTCTTAGCCAGTTTATTAACTAAGTAAAAAGTGAAAAGACACTGATATATAGCCCCTGACCTAATTCCACGTGGCAGTGCGACCTTGAAGTGACTGTGCTAAGGTTTCAGAAACTCCAGTCTACTACAGAAAAGGCTTCCTCTTGGCCAGCATTTCCTAACGTGGCTCTATTGACATCTTGGGCTGATTAATTCTTTGCTGTGGGGGCCACCTGCGTGCTGCAGGCTGTTGAGAAGGATCCCTGACCTCTACCTACTACATGTCAGTGGCACATCTATAACCCAGATCATCTGTAACAACAACAACAGAAATATCTCTAGACAGCACCGAATGTCCCCTGGGAAGCAGAATCCCCACCACCCCACTGGAGAACCACTGAACAATGAAACAGGCTTCTCTGTAGGTCAGCCTCGTTTTCCATAAAAACCACTGGAAACAACGGTAGAGCTGAAGGAGACTCCATTTCTTCATAAAACAGGAAGGAAAACTCTGCATCTTGTTAAAGAAATTTCATGGCTGCGGAAGTGGGCGGCTGGGAGTTAGTCTGGGTCACTCAGGGTATTTTTAATCCAAGTGTCTCCTTAGAGGACTGTCCCTTATGAGATGCCACCGGAATTCACAAGTCTGAGCCATTCTGTTGAAATAGTCCTTCACTGGGCTGTTTTCTCACAGGAGAGTATCTCAGAATTGCCAAAACAGTGGTTTTCGAACTTTGGGTACCACGAGTTGCAGTAAGAAATGTGTTTACATCTCTACCCAATGACATGTGTCTCCTGCACTCGGAGCAGCTGGAGTGACCGCTGCTGCTGCTGCCCCTGGGTTTTAACAGCTGTGCTGCAGGAGCCGCCACCTGCAGGGTGGCTCAATGTGACAAGTCCTCTGAACTGTGGGGCTTCATGAAGAATGTCTGTGCTTGGGGTGAAGTAGCAGTGGCGGGGGCCAAGCTGGCTCCCGACTTTATTTTTTGTCATTTGTAAACCAAGCCAGCCATGTACTTTTTTTCCAGGCACAGAGATACTTTCATGTCAGAAAAAAAAAAAAATCCATTTTGTAGCCAACCAATAAGAGGACATATCCTGCAGGGCTCGAGAAAGGCCGGGAAGGATGCAGACTTGGCTGGCTGTCAGCGCTGGGTCCCTCTGAGCCTCCCAGAATTCCTCCTAGCCTTGGAGGACAGTCCCCGGCTGCGAACTTGGGTTAGGAGAAAGGTGGGCTCCTCGGAGAAGCAGACCTAACCATCGGCTCCGGGCCAGCATGGCCTTTCCGCGGTCCAGTCCACACGGCCTGAGGTCGAGGGGTAGCAGGTGTGGTGCAGAGAACACTGGACATGGAGCAAAGAACCTCAACCCGAGCCTCAGCTTTGCCACCAGCTGTGACCAGGGGCAGGTCACTCAACTTCTGCCTCGGTTTCTTCAGCTGTACATGAAGGAGTTGGGCTGGATGACCTCAAAGGCCTCTCCCGTCCTAACAATGGAGGCGGAGACTAGCCTCTAACTGAAGGAAATGACAGGTTTCACTGGAAATGACAATTCTAGTATCTGCCAGATCTAAAGCTTAGAAATCGCAGACCTGGCCTTTTTTCTCCTTCCCACTCACTGTCACAGCTGAGGCTGGTGTGAGGGGCCCGTCGTTCCTTCCTCGGCCACGTCCCACTTGTAGAGAACTCGGAGGGGTCACCCTACAGATCTCGGGGCCCTACTTCCCCTGCCACAGGTGCTCAGACCAGGGGCGGGGTGATCAGAGTCTCTCTCCCTATGATTTGGAATTTTCCAATTAGCTGTAATGATTATTACAAATAATATGTATTTGTTACAGCAAACTTGGACAAAATAGTGAAGCATAAGGAAAACAAAAATCACCCAGCGTTCTACCATTGAGTGTCACCATTTTTTAACACTTTAAGGCCTCTATATTTCTAGCCTCATCTCTTTATTTGGTCAAATTCTCCTTCTCCCTCTCCATATAGATTCACGACATATTTCTTTTAAAAATTAACCGCAGGTTCTATGTTCTATACTTTTCGTGTACCGGTTTATTTCGTTTTGTTTTGTTTTGACTTCTCAAGGTAGCGTTAACATTTTCTCATGTCACCAAATATCCAACAACGCTGTTTTGATGGATGCATAGCATTCCACCCAGTGTCTCTGCCTTATTTTATTTCACCCACTTGTTGCAGGTGGATGGCAAATTTCGTGTCATGTATTTCCGAACCACAATAAAAAGTTAGAAAAAGAAAAGAGTTAAGCATTCGGGTATCTGTGGGCTGTGCGCGTGTCAGGAGGAGAGAAAGCAGGCAAGTGGGAGGAGGCCGAGGGCTGCAAGCGGGCGTGAAAACGCGCTGGACCTGCAGAGCCAGCGGCGTCTCCCAGATCATGCAGCGGTCTGACCTCGGGGAGCCGGGTCAGCGGTGAGCAGGGAGAAAACCATCAGGAGAAAAGCAATCAGACAGGCACAGCCCGTAACGGACTCACGCTCATATAATGAACAAGGCTCTACCCTGTGGCTCACAGGGACGCAGGAACATGCTCATTTAATCGTGCTAGGAGGCGATGGAGGTATTTTATGTCTGCCCATGCCACAGCAATCTGAAACCATATCTTAGTTTTGAAATTGCAAGCGCTCTTTCTGGTCTGTAAAATGTCAGTTTATTTTAGTAGGTTTTCTTTTTACTTTTCGTTTCTTTTAACTGCGCCTACCTCAGTGTTGGGAGATTATTTTTTTTTTGGTATGGACACCGATTTGAACATTTCTTTGAGATGAGAGGAACACAGCGCAGACTGCCAACTGTGCCCTCCTGGCGTGCTGTGTGGGGCATAGATTTTCTTCTGTTCTCAGGGACAAGATTGGGTTCTGAGTCAGAAGACTGAGGCACTCCACAGCACATTACTGAAAGAGGCTGTACGACAGACAGAGATGTTTACGAATCTGCTTTTCCGGAGCGGTTTAAGGCCGAGATCAGCAAAATATGGCTAGCAGAACAAATCCGGCCAGCACCTGTGTTTGTAAATAAAGTTTTTTTTTTGGACGTTAGCCATGCCCATTCATTTATGGCTTGTCTATAAATGTTAAAACAGCAGAACTGAGTAGCCGTGGCAGAGACCACATGGCCTGCCGAGCCTCAAATATGTTGTCTCTGGCCCTTTAGAGGAAACGCTGGCTGACGGCTGGTTTGGAGGAGGGGTCACCAGCTGGGTCACTGGCTGGAAAGCCTCCAGGGGCCAGGTGGCCTCATTCATGTGCTACAGTCTGGGGGTAACAGAATGCGTGGGGCTTGTGGCGTGAAGGTGGCCAGTTGCGAACCTTCGCGTAGAGAAAGGACATGAACCTGAACGCACCAGTAACTGATTCTCTTGGGACCTCCTATTTCCTATAGGTAAACTTTCTTCCAAAGGACTGATGATAAGGTATGAAAAGCACATCCGAGGAGGCCCACAGCGGTATGACTCACGGTGCTGGGCGTGGTTAGTGTTTTACTGACAGTCCTTCTCTGCTTCTAGGTTCAAGTTCCCAAGCCTTAGAAGGATTAAAAAATCCTTCATGTTAGAAGACACATCTCCTTGTCTTCTTAATTTCATGCGTAGGCACCTCCTGTAGGGTAAGTCCTGGCCACTCTCTCTCACCTCTTTTCTGGTGAGTTCAGGAGGGGGAACTAGCCATGTGCAGTCTGGTCCCACCTGGGGCAGGGTCTGTGGCTGCAGAGGAAGGCCAGCGTGGTCTCCTCCCCCGTAAGTCACCCAGCCTGGGTGAGTCGGGAAGCCCCCACTGTGGGGCACAGTATTAGGGAGTTCAGTATTATACACACGTAAGCCTTGTCCTCCAATAAAAACACTGGCACTTGGATCTTCCTTTGTCTGACTCTTGTGAACATTTCACACGATGGGAAGGGGTATTATTTATTGATACTCTGCCCTACCAAACCTAACACCGCTAGCATCCTACGTGGCTTATCCCAGGCCAGCCAACTCTTGCCCTTACGTGCCACGTGGGACTTGCTGGTGGTTCCTCAATGTCCCAAGCACTATCCCATGCCTCTCTCCTGGGTTCCTAGAACACTACCTCTTTCTACGCCTCCAGGTCCCCACCCTTCACCCCACCTTCACGCCCACCATGGTGCCCTTAGCACTTTAAACGGATCAATGATTAAGACACTCCATGGCGACGTAGCTAATTTCTTCTGTTGCAGGAGTATGTACAGTAGGTGTGTGATGGTAGAGACCTCGTTTCTTATACATTGTAGTCTTTGGTGCCGGCATGGAGCCTGGTGCATAGCGGGAAGTACAGGCCCATCTGCTGAACTTGAACTGAGGAGCAATGGGAGCCTGCCACGTCACCTGTCTCCTCCCGCTCCCACGCATCACGGTCTATTTAAACCTTGTAGGAACGGGGCAGGTGGGGGGTGATTTCTCTCTGTCTTCTTTATCCTTCTCTTTTTTTTTTTCTCTTAATTCAGAGAAGTAGTACTTATAGATTATTTAAAACACACGCAAGGTCATTTCTCTCTAAATGTGCAATCCCACAGGCCAGTGCAGGAAGATCTGCGCCGGGCTGAGCCTGTGAGCTGAGCAGACAGCAGACTTGAGCTCCTTGGTCTGCTCTGCAGGAAGCCGAACCCTCGCCGAGGTACCTTGCCAAGGTCCCTCTGAAAGGACAGGCCTAAGGAGCCTGCTGCCCAGTCCTGGGTTAATCCCAGACACGATTTTCCATTGCTGGTCCACTTGAGTCTGGGATTGGGAGCCTTACTCAGGATGAGGGCTGGGGACTCATCCGGCCCTCACCCCGTGTTATTGACTCTGCCCTCCTCTTAGCAAGTCCTGCCCATTTGGACTGGCTCAGATCCGGACAAGCATTGGCTCACGTCAACTACCAGGGAGCATCACTGCTGTGTGGTCAACACCCCACTTTGTTTATTTTCGCTTCCTGTTTTCCTAAAGCACTTGGCTTCCCTGGCCTTTCAGCCTGAGGGGCAGGCTGGCCGGCCTTTCCCTCCTCCACCCTTGGAGCTGAACGGGTCAGCCGAGTGAAGGCCAGTCTTGGGGCCTGGCCACATGATGGAATAAGCAGAGGCAGCTCTTACGGGGCTGAGACTTTCAGTCTTGGCTAAACATTGGAATCACCTGGCAGCTTCCAAAAATACCAACACCCTGGTCCCATGCATGTATTCTGATTTAGTTGGTCTAGGTGCAGCCTGGCCTTTGAGATTTTTAAGTCCTCTAGGTCAGGGGTTCCCAAACCCCCGGGCTGTGGACTGGTACCCGTCCATGGCCTGTTAGGAACTGGACCACACTGCGAGAGGTGAGTGGCAGGTGAGCGGCAGGCGAGCGAAGCGTCATCTGTATTTGCAGCTGCTCCCCAGAGCTAACATCACCACCTCAGCTCCACCTCAGATCATCAGGCATTAGATTCTCATCAGAGCATTGGTCCCTGGTGCCAAAATGGTTGGGAACCGCTGCTCTAGGTCATTTTAATATGTAGCCAAGGTTTAGCATGACTGGCTTGAAGACTTTCACCGTTTCACAGTCTGCCACAGTTCTAAACTGGGAGTTTTCAGGTTCTTTCCCAACTATTAATGCAAAGTTCCTGCATCCCATTTTCTTGGAGTGTTTAGCTCCCTAGTCAAAAAGCCGCAGGGAGGGGAGGGACATGTAAATTCAAGCACCCCAAAAATCTGACACTAAGCAATTAACTCTGGTATTCTGTAAAAGCCTCCGAATGAATCCCTGGGGCCTGGGACAAATAAATGTTCTGAACCTTCCACAAGTATGAATAGCATTGCATCCTTGCTGTATAGGACAGTGAAATTATGATGTCACCCTCTAGACAGCCTGTAGCCAATCAACGAGCACCAAATTCCAGAAGATCAGGGACAATCAGGGGGCTCATAGGGAGGGTACTTCGGTACTTACTTCTGGGGATCTTGCTGGGGTAAACCTTCTGGCATGGTTTGTATTCATCTGGAGGAGGGAAGTCTTCCACGGAATGGAATGTGAATTTAGACTCAAAGTCATCTGTACACACGAGAAATGGCAAAATCGTTCTGATTACTGTGGCGACCCAAGTTTTGATTATTTCCAGGAGCACACAGGTTGTGTGTCCAGTGCAGGCATTTTAATGACATCCATCTATTTCTCATTTTTCACTGTTTAGCTGAGACAAAGAGAATCAGGGAAAGCGAAATCAACAGATTCTCCCACCGCCCACCCCAATGTACTTCAACCCACAAGGAGAAGGCCAGGGATATCCAGGGCTCGGCGTCCACAACCTGGCAGCAACCAATGACCAGAAAAGTCCCTGTGGCCTAACGCTCCCCCTGAGCTCCTGGGGACATCTTTGGTGGGAGAGGTGGGCAGAACAGGAGTCCTTGGCCTGGCTGGTGGGAAGGAGCACAGCTTATGTCCAGCTGGGGACCTGCGCTCCCCAAAGCAAACAGGTTCTGCCCTGAGCCCTTGGTGGAAGAGGAGAGGGGGCTTGGGGCCCTTTCATGGGTTGAGTCCCTGCTTTACGATCTAAGCTTTGTGTCTGAGAGTAGCTCAACCCACAAAGGGATTCAAAGACTTTTGGTCACACCTGACCCCAGGTGACTTTTGTTCCTATCTCCATATTTTTGCCCTAATTGTCCCCCTGCCTGCTGAGCCTTCGTTCATTCATTCACCTTGTCTAAATCACTCTCTTCTTTTAACCCTATGCATAGACTTCTCCATGGAGACACACACACACACACAGAATTTGAAAGTTGGTTTTCTTCCCTCTGTCTAAGCTCCATCAGGAGGTTGGAGAGTGGGTTCTGGAACCCCCAGAAAAACCTCAAGAGAAACCCTATGTTTAACACAACCTGTAGGTTGTTCTGTGCCACAGTGAGCCCCTGTTCCTGCAAAGCATGCGCCCTAAAAATGACAGCACCATAGGCTGGCAAACTCCCTCCTGAGCCCGGGGAAACCAGTTCTTCACTGGCAGCCAACACGGCCGGCAGCGGCCCCGCTTACCGATAATGTGCAGGCTTCCATTCCGCAGCTGTCCTCCGGGCTGCTGTGTCGGGGTCCAGGCTGGGGCCTGCTGGCTTTTGCTTGAAAGCTCTGTGGTGGGTGATCTCGCAGGGGGTGCCGGGGGCGGATTCAGTTTTCCTCCGCTGGTCCCTGACAGAGAAGACCATGGTGTGTTTAGATACAGGAATGGGGACGGTGACCGCTCTAACCTTTGGTGAAAGGTGAGGTACTGAGATCTTTGGATGTCATATGACAGGGTGAGTAAAAGGGCAGCCCCTGGAGCCAACCTGCTTGGGACTGAATCCAGCTTCTCCCGCTGGGATAATAACTTTTTGTGCCTCTGTTTCCTCATCTGTCAAATGGGAATAATCCTGGTACACACACCTCCCAGAGTTGCTGAGAGGGTTAAGTCAAGCGGCATGTAGCAAAGGCTCAGTAATCGTTAGCCGCCTCGATGCTATTAATGACGATGATGTCATCAGTGGCACCGCTCACAGAAGGGGAACCACTGCAGCGTCCTAGTCCGAGGAGAGGGAGGGGCTGTCCACAGGCCCGGCTCAGAGGGAGGCTAGAGGAACGAGCTGTCGGGGGCTTGCTGCTGCCAGTTTCTGCTCACACTGGTTCCCCTGCATCGCAGACCTCGTTTCTCCTTCCGGCCAATCTAAGTCCACCCCGTCTACCCGGGGCCCAATCCGAATCCCAGCTACATCATCAAACCTTCCCTGGTGACCGCTATGGGAGGCGCGCCCTCTTTTGCCAGTACTTTTTTGCATGACTCATTTGGCAATAAACGAGCACTGTCTTGGCACCTCCGTGCGGGCAGGTATTCTACTGATTCCACCTCATGACATGACAACTGCGCTGCTATGATCTGTGCTAAGATGTTCACAATTACAACCCCTTTCTCTCCCCTGCAGTTGGCCTGAGCAGAAATGACCTTTGTTTTATTCATGGAAAACTAGGTTTCACATCCAAAGACACGATGAAAGAGGCCAGATGAGCTTCGGCTCCTGGCCTTGATTTTACTGCTCCAGGGCAGGCCAAGGCATCCGCTCGGCCAGCCGTTCTCTGTCACCTGCCACCGTCAGGGCTCCTTCCCGCCCTTTGGTTCCAGACCCAGTGCAGAAGGGCCGCTCCCAGACCCTACCAGCCATCTGCTCAGCCCCTGGTCCCCTGCCCTCCAGTTCCCCACATCCCAGCTGTGGCCCCGACTCCCCACTCTTCAGCTGCACCTCAAGTCTGTCACCTCTTGGTCACATTCCCAATCCACACCAGGCTCATGTGACCAAGGCCCAGAAATCCAGCTTATAGTTCAAGGAGCTAGGGTTGCCCCCAAGAACTGGCAGCATTCTCTGAGGATAAGAATCACCGAGGGGGTCCTGGAGTCCATCCTGTCTGCTCACCTCCAAAGAGGCATCTGACGGTCCCGCCTTCCTCTATGAGTATGAGCCACTCTGCACCGCCCTCTGTGCCCAGGTCCAAGTGCCAGGCTCCCTCCCCAGCTCCTGGCCTGGGCCTTGCACTTTCTGATGGAGCCACAGCCTGAATCTGAGCAAACCCGGGTGTAAGGTGGGTGGATGTGTGCGCACAGGTCTGTGCCTGTGGGTGGACAAACAGTCTGCTTCCTTTGAGATTTTTAAAGAAAATAATCTCATCCTTCCTCCCCTTTCTGGTCTTTCCTTCCTCGATACCAGGCACTGCTAGAATTTACTGGCTCCCACAAGCTGACTAAAGGGGTTAAGGGGCTGCTGACCCCTCTTCTAGATGAAAAGCTGCCCTTCTACCTGACAAGAGAGAAGGAAAGGAAATGACACCGCCTAGCCTCGGAGACATGCACAGTGCTTCAAGCACATTTTCTCCTTTAATACGCGTAACAATCCTATGTGCAAAGTGTTATTGTTTTCATGTGTCAAAAAAAGAGCAAGGTTCAAGAACATTAAAAAAAAACTAGTATGAGGTTACACAGGAGTAAGTGAGAAAACCAGAATTTGGACTTAGATCTCTCTAAACTTAAAGCATTGTGTGTTTTTTTTTTAACCACACGATGAATATTTAAGAATCACAAGTGACAGAAAGGGCTCACCAGTACTAATGCTGGCTTTTCTGGTGACTAGTCAATTAACAAAAGAATGATTAAAACCTTGTCTCTTGCAACTAAGAGCCTTAAAAATATTCTTGCTCTTTGTACCAAGAATTTTCTCTGGGAACCCATCTTTAAAAAAACATCCAAAATGTAGACTACAATTGCTATGAAAATATTTCCTGCAATATTCTTGATAATAAAAAAATGAAATTAACTTCATAATACTATAAATATGGCATAGACTGATTATCACATGAATGTGCTTATAAATTTTAATGATTTGACAAATTTGTTTTCAATGTAATATCAAATAAAATAGAAAAGAGTATATATAAATAGTAGTAACAATGTAAATTTATAGATATAGTCAGAAAAAAAAGAAAGGAAACATCCAAATGCAACAGTTTTACTTCTGGGTGATGTTATTATGGGCGATTGCAATTTTTATCTATTTGCTCTACCATGAGCTTGTATTATTTTCAATGCAAAGAAATACATTTAAGAGACTTTCTACACCAAAAGACTTTCTGAAAGACCAAGGAATATGTGTATAAGTGTGGATGTGTGTTGAGGGATGTGTGTGGATATGAGTGTTTGCATGTGTGGATGAGCGTGTGTGTGAGTGTGTATGTGTGGGTGTGATTTCCACTCAGAAGGACACCAAAAGTGAATGTAGCCACTGCGCTCCACACAGATCACAGTCATGGGACATCTGTACTCAATCCAAAGTCATCGCTGCTGGACGGGTGAAGAAATTATTCTTAATATTTGGCTGAAAATACAGATACTCAGTTTTTTGAGTCAGCTGGAGGATCTGCCAAAAATAAGGCAGCGTGATAATCCCATCTCCTGAGGACCGGTGAAGATTCCTG